TGTGTACCGTAATTTATATCGCGTGGCCGTCATCCTCCGTGCGGAATAAAAATAATAAGTAACGACGGGAACGAGGAAAAAAAGAAAAAAGACCAACCGATAGAATACAGAATGCTCGCTGATGTGGCTACGTTTCCGTTGTTTACGCCACCGACGTGGATTCGCGCCTGTTTCCACGGGTCATCCGAGTTGGACGACTTGGATTCTGGCTACAGTGAATCAGGTTTGCGAGGAATTAGTCGGTGCATTGCTCGGATTCGGTGGGATTGTGCAAATAAATATTGGGTTGGCAAGTAATTTCGGTTTGCATCGGTAAATAATGTTATGCTCGTTTAGTTATTCTTTTGTCAATGTTAGAATTTTTTTCTTTTCAGATGTGGTAGTCGATACCTTTAGGTTGCTATTTCGTGAAATTCCGTGTAATTTCGTTTACAACTGTCAGTTCACGGTCAGTCTTATCATGGAGTGCAAAAATAAGCATTTTCGACACATTTTACTTTTTTATTTTCATAGAGGCAAGAATGCGGCTGAGGCTCGCAAAGAGATACGAGAAGTTTATGGTGTCGATTGTTTAACAGAACGCACGTGTCAGAATTAGTTTAAAAAATTTCGTTCCGAAGATTTTTCACTGAAAGATACCCACAACGTTCTGGTCGACCTTCTGAGATTTACGCACTCGGTTAAGCTTTTTGCAGATAAGGACCGGAAATTCTATGAGCGCGGGATCATGAAGTTACCAGAAAGATGGCAAAAGGTGTGTAATTTTTATGAAATTTATTACTGAAAAATTTCAGTAATAACGACGATCTCAAATCGCACTTGGTTAAGTTTTTTGCTGATATGGACCAGAAATTCAATTCATTAAAGTTCATTTATTGTATAGAAAAAATCGAGTTTTATTTCAAACTAAAGAACCGAAAGTACTTTCTTGCCAACCCAATATTTGAAAGCGTTTCTGTCCTTCGCTTCAGCTCTTTCATAATCTTATTCGCTCATCGCTGAGTACCGCGAGGTTTTATGCACTTAGGATGCACTTTCTGGTGAATTGTTATAATTCCGGAATTATTCCTCGACATTAGTCGAAAATGTCAATATAATTGCACTTTTCAGTCAAATTCTATCGGAATTGTAATGGCTATAACAATTCCATAGGATTTTTTCTTGAAATTAAATATTTAACATAAATTGAATATATAACAGAATTAAGGAATATTCGCGTGTTAGGGAATATTTAGGTCTTTTGATTTAGGATGAACTTAGATGATGCTTCATATGATGCCTTGTACATTGCTATCATGAAACTGTGATTATAGCAAACGTGTCTTCTGAGAAATTAGTTTATTAGGATTATCCTATTACGAATTGGCTGTGATTGTAAATTATTTGATAATATATTGTACAACAAATTTAGTTTTATTGATAGCCTATTCATTGGGCTATAGTTGCCATACATGTGATTTTTGAGGTTTTAATTTATTAATTATGATTACTGGGTTACGAATTGGCTGGGACGTAAATTATTTGGATATATATTGTATAACAAATTTAGTTTTACTGATAGCCTATTCATAGTTGCCATACATGTGACTTTTGGGTTTTAATTTATTAATTATGATTATTGAGTTACGAATTGACTGAGATCGTAAATTATTTGATAATACAGGGTGTCCCAAAAAATGTATACACACTTTGCGTGATTATAAATAAATTATATTTCTATTATAATAAATTAATATGAATTTGAAAGAATAAGGTATTAAAGTGTGTATACGTTTTTTTGGGACACCCTGTATATGATAGAACAAATCTAGTTTTACTAATAGCCTATTCATTGGGTTATAGTTGCCATAAATGTGACTTTTGTGGTGTTAATTTATTAATTATGATTATTTGGTTACGAATTACTTGGAACGTAAATTATTTGATAATATAATATATTGTAGAACAAATATAGTTTTACTAATAGTCACGTATTCATTAGGCTATATTTGCCATAGATGTGACTTTTGAGGTTTTAATTTTTTAATTATGATCAAGTGGTTACAAATTACTTGGAACGTAAATTATTTGTTAATATATGGTAGAACAAATTTAGTTTTACTCATAGCCTACTCATTAGTCTATAGTTGCCATAAATGTGACTTTTGAAGTGTTAATTTATTAATTATGATTATTGGATTACAAATTACTTGGAACGTAAATTATTGTTGATATATGGTAGAACAAATTTAGTTTTACTCATAGCCTACTCATTAGACTATAATTGCCATAGATGTGACTTTTGAGGTTATAAAATATTAATTGATTAAAATAACAAATTACTTCGGAATGTTTGTATAATAATATATATTTGCACTTTTTATTTAGAATAAATTTCGTTGTTTGTTTCATTTTCTGCACGTTTCAATCTCTCATCGCTAGGTATCATAAAGCTACCGTTATCTAAGTGGCCTTGATAAAGTAATTTATTAATTATTGGAATTATTTCGTTCTTCGTTCCACTCGTTTCACGTTCTCTTTCCTATTACTATCATAAGATTGCGACTACATATATTTCTTTTTTTCACAAAATAAAGTTCCAACCGATAAATTTATTAATTATCGAGGTTATCGTGTTGCGAATTGGGTAGGACTGCGGGTTATTAACATTTTTACACGACTTTCGGTATTACTCATCCGAATAATCGCGAAAGTGTTATAAATATTACTCACGATCATCATGGTGGAAAACATTTTATCCGTGACAACTATTCCAATAATCGTATCTTTTTATTATTACATTTTACATAGTCAATGTCACATATACACCGTGACCACATCGTAAAACCGATAAGAACGAAATATTCATTAGAGAAACATGGTAAACAATGAAAAATCAAATTCGTAAAATCGATTGCACTGTCAACGAATTCTGTCTGAAAAATGAAACTACTCGATTCTTCTTCATACTCTCATCAGAGAGAGCACCTCTACTCTAATCGTTACCTCAATCATAATTATTTTCAAATTACCTCTTAAATACCGTCGTTATAATATTTACAATCTCTCATGCTTTATAAAATAGCGGAAAAACAAAAAGGTAACGAAGATTCCGATAAAGAACAGCCAGAGACAAACGTTCAGACACCGTTCCGAATCTCGAGGAAAACTAAGACATTGTTCGTCTAAGCGATCAGCGAACTTGGACGGAGCGATTGCAATCGACTTATTAAAGGAAACGTAGATTTATCGATAAAAGGGTATCGGATATCGGATATCATAGTCTGTCGAAAAGCAACGCAAATACATGAAATGCGAGAGTCGGGTACGAATGCAGTCAAAGTCTGGCGACAGTCGCCAGACCGGAGTTGCAAAGTCTACCAAGAGACCTAGTCTCGGAACACTGGCTATCCCTGCAACCCCCGTCTCGGGGCCACCCCAGACTGGACTTTTCTCGCAGAGCGTAACACCTTTGGCCGTTGGTACATAGACGGTAGACAGAGGTGGGACACTGTGAGTCTAGCTGCAGAGAGACGGGAATATCGGTAGGGTTGCGAGAGGGTACCCTTTCGCCGAAGGGTCTAACGGGGCAGCAAGCGGAGATGCAAAGAGGAAGAGTACGAGAGAGCGAGAGAGGTGGAGATGAGTGGAGAAAGGGTGGTAGGAGGTTAGAAAGAAGAGAAAGAGGAAGAAAGGGAAAGAAAGAGAGAGAGAGCGGTAGGAGGGGGTAGTAAGAAAGAGAGAGGGGGGTAAAGCGAGAGCGATGGAGGGGCAGCCTCGTGTACGCAAGGAGTGGAGGGGTGTGAGGAGAGGGGTGGGGGTACGGTCTAGGCAAGCAGCAGGGCAGCGGCCAGGTAAGCGAGGAGCGAACACTAGTGGGGCTGACTCGCGCGCCTCCGAGCCTCCGGGACTCTCAGAAGCAGCGGTTGTATATCGTCGTGCTACGCGTTCTACGGTCGTCGTGTTGTTGCGCTGCCACCGCCGCCGCTACGTCGTAGTTGTGCTCGTGCAGTGACAACGGCGTCGTGCTGCTGCTGCTGCTACGTGTTGATCGTGAAACGGTCGAACGCGGACGCGGCATTGGCAACGAATCCAAGGGGAAGAACGCTCGCAACGGCTATCGATCTCTTTGCTTTTTCTCTCGCTTTTCGATTCCGACGACGACGACGACGACGACGACAACAACGACGACATGCTATCGATCTCTTTGCTTTTTCTCTCGCTTTTCGATTCCGACGACGACGACGACGACGACGACGACAACAACGACGACGACGTGTCGGGGGAAAAGCGGGAAGAAGCTTGCGGGCACAGGTCGACCGTCGTGTACACCGAGGACACCTCGCGCCGAAAGGAGCTCTCTCTCTCTCTCTCTTTCCTCGGGGCTTTTTTGCCTTCACCCTGGTCGCATCCTAACACGCCACTTTGGGTGAGCGCCAACGATCCCCAGCAACGCACCGGGCCACCTAGTCGCGACTATGTTGGCGCAAATCCAACTGCGCCCAGTGGTTCCGTGCTACCTGCGCTGCGCTGGGGTTCTTACTGTCGCCGTTCCGTATACCACCGTGTAAGACCAGTGCGAGAAAGTGAGTTCGAGGATCAAACGTTTCGGGGGTTGAACGATCGTCAGCTAAAGTGCCCGATGCGAATGAGGAGTTTATCCCGTTGCGTGTCGATTTGCTGGATCGGTGGTGGGTGCGAGGGAATCGACCGCGAGCTAGTGTTTACGTCTGCCAGTGCGCGTTTCCCCTCGGCTCTTGGTCCATCGTCGTCCACTTGGTCCAGGCCAAGTGCGAGGCAACCGTGTAACGTGTGACATCGTGTTTCGCGAGACCACCGTTTCCCTTCCGACCACGGGTACACCTGGTACATTGACCCTGTCGTTGATCATCGATCGCAACGCGGCAAGAGTAACATTGTCAAGGTGACCGCGAAACAGTGCGAGGGGGATCGATCCGTGTCGTCGACGGAAGATTGCAAAGTGGTGGATGAGAATCGAATGATAAAGAAGTCGCTGGATGCAAGGATTTTGAAAGTAGCTCCAGAAGGCCAGCCCGACGCGATGCGTCGACGCTGCTGACGCAACGCGCCTGGATGCGTCTCACTTTAAGCACGTGAGTGACCGTTTTCCTTAATTTTCACCGACTCCCCAAACAGTCTTAGAGCGTGTCGTGGTGATCCAGACGTGTAAGGACGTTCGATTTTGCCTCGAGGCGATCCCGCTGGGTCGTTCGAGGGCCCCGTTTCTTTCCATCGGGATAGTCTAGCCGCGTGATCGTGTTAAGATGGTTCCAAGGGGATCGGATAAGAGAACGATCTCGACGTGTCCGCCACGGTATTCGGATACTTGAACGTACCTTCTCGTGGCTCGTGATCAACACGGTGTTTCGGTTCTTCGTCTACGGTATCCGCTGTCGATCACCCCTTCTGTATGCTCCGTGGTAGCCGTGGTGCGGTAGCAGTGTTGCTGTTGGTGGTAGTGGTCGCGAGTGCGCACGCGACAACCGGTGGTGAATGATCCTGACTCCGGGCTGACAAAGGTTTTCGTATACGAATACTGGGATGACGTCCGCTTCGGATTACGCGCTCTCTTCACGATCTCGTCAATCTACATCGTCTAACGCGGAACCAAATGTAAGTCTCCCAGCACGCTCTCAAGTGTTCTAGTGCCTACGAAAACGTACATCATCGTATATGCTAACCGTGTGTACCGTTTCGTCCTGTCGTCTCTACAATTCCGCCTTGGTGCTCGATGAATGGGTGACGTTTTCGCTGGTCCAAAAGACGACACCTTTAGAACCTAGGAACGCGTATTCGAAGCCGATGGAGACTCTCGGTCGAGTTGCGTGTACTTTGGATAACGGTGCTTCGGCTGGCAGGGGGTGAAGCGTCGGGTACTAGCGATACACTACGCGGACCATGCAAATAGATGTATAACCTGGAACTAATATTTCCCGTTTTACGACACGCAACGAGAAAGTTACGTTATATAAAACGAGACTTTACCTTCCACTCGCTCTGCACTCTGGGGAAGATCTATGTCCCATGCGTTCTTGAACGTTCTATCGATGCCAGTGGCTGAAAACTGTCCACCATCGTCCTGATCCTTCGTCAACCTGCAATTCTAACTATTTCGCGAGCGAAAATCTTCGATCGATTCTACGAAATTCTCCAATACACGTTTCTCTCAGAAATTATTTAATTTTCGCTCGAAATTATTTAATTTTCGCTCGAAATTATTTCATTTTCCCTCGAAATTACTGACGGGCACGGTTTCGAGAAAACTCGTCGAAAGATAATTCTGCGCGATATATTACGCAATTTTTCTCCCGCGCACTCGATACTCGATATCGCGTTTCGACGACGATAAATAATTTACGATGCTGGTTCTCGGGGGATCATTCGGGTGTCACGAAAATTCCCCGTCACCCGTTCGTATTTTTACGTTTGCATATTTTTCGAGAACGCACGCGCGCGCGCGTATCTAGAGATTCGAGAATCTCCGATACAACGCCACTCGAACGAGGTATTTATTTTGAAGCCATCGACTCGCCGCGTGATCTAATCTCTTATTTTCCGAGATATGGAGTAGTTTTGTCTAAGGACAGCAGCGAGTTCGATATTACGTGAGCGACGGACGGAACTTAGGATCGCGGCCTGGTCCTCGGATGCGGAGGCAGATGAGGGAATTTTGTTGCTCCGGCTGGTTATCGAGAACGATGGGTTGTCAATTGGAAAATCAGACGATACGGCGTCGATAAGCCGGCATTTTTAGATAAGCCGAACGCGCAATTAAAATGCTTTCTGAATGAGACTTCCTTCGATTAAGCAACGAGCGCATAGACTGTCTGGGTCTCACGCTCGTTACCGTTCCACTTTCTTCCGTTTTCTTTTTCTTCTCTTATCTCTTACTCTATCTTCCTTCGATTCTCTCCTCTCCAACGATACTCCATCCAGCACGCCGTTTCTTCGCTCTTTCCTTCCTTTCGAATGATAAATCGAAAACACGATTGCTATACCGCGTTTCCTTTAGTTTCGCGAGGTAGGATGTGCTTAGATAGCTTCGTGCAATTCGTCATCGAATTCCTGATTTTTCACTGATTTCTCAGTCCAATTTCGGATAACCGTGGACGAGCTGCGAAGTTGCGAAATGCAAATTCGAAATTCTGAATAATTTTATTAATTCGGAGAAATTTTTAATGTAATTAAAAATTTAAAAGGAAATGGTTGATTATGGAATCGAGTAAAATCACGATTATTCCTTTAACCCTTTGCACTCGAAAGGTGAACTTCAGTCACCATTTTATAAAATTTGAAAGATCGATAATAATTAATATATGGAATTTAAGGTAATGTAACTTTTAATTATTATACCATTTCTTTCATTTACTTACTGCTAGAAAAATATTATCAGCCTTATAGCTGAAAATTTTTCAACTCGTATACCTCTTTAAAAATTTGTTCAAAAATTCGTCCAATGCGAAGGATTAATCGTATGAAGGTATTCGAAGTGATTGATAATTTTTTTTTTCCTTTTCTGAGATAGATTTTGTACCCAGTTCGAGCAGTTTCTTGGTTTACGCGATGAAACGTGAATTTGTAATTTTTTGGACAAATTGATCGTTCACGGAATCGATATAAAGTGACGAAATAAAGGATCGAAAAGCTTTTGAAATTATATCTGTACCGGGGAAGATAATTGACGTACAATTGAGATAAAAATAAATGATATAATTCAATTAATTATGACATTGCATAAAAATATTATTCTTTTGTTGATATAAAAGTATCGTTGTGAGTTGGTCGATCATTTTTTTTGGAAATGACAGTTTCCAATTTACATTTTTGTATAATAAAAAATGTATAATAAATAATTTTTCTGGAAAAATATTGGTCACTCGCATACAATACAGTCAATTCGATCTCGATTGTCCGTAAAATCGATACAGAGTAAAGAAACAAAGTTTCGACAAGCCTTCTGATACTATCTCGAAGGAAATTCACGAGATAATTCAGATACGATTGAAACGAAAATAAAGGAAATAATTTAATTAATTACACTGTTATAAATTAATCTCGTAAAATGTCATTTTAAATCGATCGTTAATTTTTTCGATATAAAATTTTCAATTTATTTTCTCAATTTACATAAAAATATAAGAATACTACATTGTCATTCGTTATGTACGTGTAGCTCCTTTGGGGAAGCAAATTCGGCTATCCAGAAATTTTATATTCGATTCATCGTAAGATCGCTATATTTCCTGGCAATAGGTGGTCAACTGTTATTTTTACACACATTGAACACATGTTTTGATAACGTAATCAGTCTCCACCTCGTGTATGTCGATGATAACAAACCGGTCAATTACATTTGCTTCCAATTACCCTTCGTTATTTTTCATAGTTCTTTCGTTCCACATTCATCGAAAGACCAAAGCTTATCGAACAGAACCTAGCACGTGTGCTCCAACGGGATTATTGCGGGAACATCGTTACACCTGTATCGAGTATTCTTACGAAATTTTCCTCGATCTGCACTCTGCCGACCTGGATAGCGAAAATTTGCAACGAATATGACGCGGTGAACGAGGTGAAGCTCAATTCACGCTACAAACACGCAAACATTTTGAATGCTGGCGGCACATGTGCTAAGATGAATAACAAGCGAACACAAGAAAGATTTTAGCGGACGTGAATCCAGTTGTATTGATCGATGATGCACTTCGATCCATTATTGACGTGCGTCGCGAGAATACGTGAAGTGCAACGTTTTAAATCTCGTCCCGCGATATCGTTTGCCAATCTTTTGCTCAATTTAGTGTCTCTCGATTGGTCTTACTCGTGGATGAATTTCTCGTAATTTTCGAAGGCTGAATTATTTTCATTTTTATTCTATTTCTGCAAGTTTAAAGACGGAGTGTGACATAATGACAACGTTGCGAATATCGAATGAAGATTTCTTTTTATGGTTCTTAATTTATGCGATATAAATTATTTTTAATATTATAAAATTTGTATAATTATAGAAATGAAAGAAATTAAAATTTATGGATTTTGTAATTTATAGTATTGCAAAATTTTCTGATATTATAAAATATCGTACAATTTTGTAATACTATGGATTATAAAATTTTTAAAAGTTTTAATTTTTAATACTTCTTTCATGCCAATCGAAGGAATTATAGTGGTGACCTAAATTAGTGAAGCTTGGAAAAGAAAAATAAAGTTTGAGAAATGCGTTATTAAAATTTAGCAGAAAATTAAAAATTACGAAATTACAAAATTTAAAAATGTGTATGTCATTAGGTAATGAAAAAATGGAGTAAAGATTAAAAAATCTTAATTTTTGGCGAAAATCTTGCTCGTAATAATTTATTCAAGTTTGCAAAGAAAATTTGAAAAATATTTTATATCTAAGCAAATAGCGAGACACGTGCACGATATATCGTTGTCAGCATTAAAAGGGTCAAAATCGATATTCGATGGATCGGAACAGTGATTTTTAAACAGTGTGCCATGACATTATAATATTTCTTTTTATAATTAAGGGAAGAAAAATTTAATATATATTTTGATTCTTCGCAGAATTTTCGTAACTAGTTTAGTATGAAAGTTACTATAATATTTTACAGAAATTTATTTAAAATATTTTTTCAGTATTTCTCTGGAATGCCTCGAGGTATTATTTAATAACGTTTTATCAATGTCGAGAGATATAAATTGAAAAAATAAATCTCGATAGTAGTGACAATAATTAGAGACAAACAACTATAATTGTATAATATTTTCTGTTATCACATGTGACAATGTAAATATGTTGGAAAAGTACAATTAAGTCATATATAAGAATTATATTTATTATATATAAAAGTCTCATAGATGATTGATACGATTTATTAAAAACTACTAAAATTTTACTATCTTTTTTTCCGAATATACAATTAAAATTATCGAAATTTATATTTTAACATTTTCATCTTTTAAGATATTGATAAAATATGCAAATTTATCGTAAAATTCCAATACATTTAAGTCACATATAAGAATTTTATTTATTATATATAAAAGTCTCATAGATGATTGATACGATTTATTAAAAATTACTAAAATT